CATATTGCACGCCTAGATCATCACGCGGAGTCACTGAGTGCGCGAGGAGCTTGTTGGATACCTGGAGAATGAGAGAGAGCGAGAGACACTGGCACGCGCCTTTCTAAGTGTATCTGCGCGTGTCAGGAGGGAAGGAGCGGGGCCGTTTGAAGGTTCCTCAGCAGCAGTCGCACGCGCCCGGTTTTCTTGCGCCAGCGGACCCACGAGGCAGCTGGAGTGGATACGAGACGCGTGTGCTACAGCGCATCGTGCTGCTTTGGAGTTGGGCGCGGAGGTTCAAGTCAAACAGAGACATTCTGTCGGTGCGTTCTGTAAGACTTCGCGTGAGAAAGGAAGAGGCAGACAGTCCAAACTCACACCGACAGACAGACCACCTGGAAAAGTTGGCTGGGGGCAGCGCGTGCAGGCTCTAAACAGCAACGGGAAAAGTCTTACTTTCTCAGCGGACTCCCGAGGAGCGGAGCGGAATGTTCGCCCCGTGACGGACCCAGCCATCAGTCCTGCGCTGCTCTGAGTCGGAGGGGGTTCGGCTCGGGGATCCAGGCTGCGGTCGCTCCACCATGTCAGTGGAGCCCAAGTAGACAGACAGAAAAAGAGAGAAGAGAAAGGTGAAAAAGAAGTACAGCAAACTGAGCAGAGGGATTACAGCCGGACGCGACATGTTCCTGATTAACATCATCTCAGTGGTGTTTGTGTTGGGTGAGTACACAAGTGGCGCGTGCACACACATACACACACACGCACACACACTGGAGGGCACTGGGTCTTGCCCGCGTGCACTTTAGTCCGTCTCACCCCCACCCCTCCCCTTCCGCGAGGAACATTAAACCCATTAAGATGTCACCCACCAGCCCTGTGGAACGGGTTCAGTGGGGGGCTGCCTGCCGTGTCAGTGGCAGGCTGTGGAGATATGTGGGCTGGAAACACTGACACTTTAGAAACTGGTAGAAAATCAACTGAAAATATTTGCAGTTATTGCATTAAAAGCAACGTGCTTGTTGGGCAAACATGATTCCTGTGTAAGAACAGCAAACAGCTTCACTGGATCAAACTTTCTTTTTCTTTTTTTTCTCCATCCTGTGTAATTACACGTGTAATTACGCGGCAGCATTTCCGTTTTTAGTTTTCTTGCTTCTCTTTGTCCGGTTTCATTTTAGTTTTATCTCCATGTCTCGTTGCTCTTTTGTAATTTGCATGACAATCTGAGCGGATCATTCCCACCTGGACTCTCTCTCTCTGAGAACACAAGTTTATCTGATCTGATCTGATCTTGCAGTCGCGGAACTCCTTCTAATTTACACGTTGAGTGGATTATTTCATTCTGCAGCAGCTCATCAGATTATACAGGATGATCATGAGACATTAAACAAGCATATTAAATGCCCTTTAAACTTAAGGAACACTGAAAATAACTGAAAAGAGTTATCTTTTGAGAACAAAGTACTGAAATGTAAGTCTTTGCCGCTGTGGTTTTCTCCTAAACGATCCTGAGTGAAGTTTAATAGCCATTGTTTGATGTTGTTGACCATTCGCTCCAGCAGAGGGCACTTATTACCCTGTTGAACCATCAAAACAAATCTAATGATGGATCATTTTTACAACCTGAATGAGGAAATTTATTTGTAGGTGTATTATTTTGATGCATGCTATGAGTTTCCCTGCAGGTGATAAAATGTTCAACCAACCACAGAATGATTGTTAGCCTATTAAAAAAACCATCTGACCACAGTTATTCACCTACCCTACCTATGAGGAACCCTGAGACAGAACACCAACTGTCACTGCATGTTTTAGTTCTCTCCCTGGTTTTACATCATGCATCACATGATGGCTCATCAGAAGGCCTAAGAAGGCCTAAGAAGAACACTGACTTGCTGAGGAGATGTTACTACCACTAGGGAGAGAACTAAAACATGCAGGATGCCGGCCCTCGAGGACTGACTTTGGACAGACACCCCTGAATTAGATGATTAGCACATGGTTTTGAAATAGAGAAGGAACACAAATAAAATCTAGAGCTCAGAAAAAACAACGTATACATATTTTTTATTTCATAAATCTCAGGTTTATGTTAGATATTCATTAAAACACAACAATTTGAAACTATCAAATACATCACTCAGCAGCTTTCACATTACCACTTAGCAAATCAATCATAATGCTATTTTATTGCATTTAGTCCTAAAAACTGAAAAATGTTCAAATGTTCCTGAGATTCTGCATAACATCTATGACATGCAACGCTGCAGAACCCGTTCAAAAACTGCTTTTATGATCCTTTTTCGAATTTGCCTCCGTCAGGGAGCGGAGGTCTTCATTTCTCCGGATTTTACAACAGATTGCAAAATTAAATAAACATGTTTACTGGCAAAAAAGAAACATTAAGTGTAACCACCAGAGGGAATTGTCTCTTTTAGATATAATTGGTCACACATGCAGACCACCCATTGATTTACCAGAAACTGACATGTCTAGAGGGCAGAACTAGTGACATGCCAAGTGGAGTAATGGTGTTTCAGGCACACAGTAAGTATGACATTAAGTGCATCTGGTTACTCACTGTTTTGATTGACTGTAGGATGCTTTGGGAACTGCCTGCTGTACCAAATCATATTCAAACCACGCAACTCATTCTGCGTAATAACCTTAGTGCAAAACTCTGAAACAGAAAGTAAAAAAAGGTGATATTCAGAATCCTTTTCTAGTAAGAAGGTTGTGTGCTTTTGCTCTGAGTTTCCTATACAAAACCAGATGCAACCAGCTGAAGAACAGAGTCTATCTGTGTAATTAAAGTCAATGTAAAGGTAAATGTTCTGTTTCTGGGCTCAGAGGTTTTTTAAAAAAGAGTAGAGAAACAAAGAACATCATGATGACCAAGAATAAAGCAGAGTCAATGTTCAGTTTGTAGTAAGACACTTGTGGTTATATCAGCCACAGATAGTGGTTCTAGAAAGCACTAGCAAAGTATTTCTCATGAACAGCGTTTCAAACCATTTGCCATTTTTTCTGGCACTCTACAATGATGTACAGCTTTTTTCTTGATCTCAACCATATGTCAGAGGTCGTTGTGATTGCAATACACCAAAAGGCCAAAAGTTATGTGCCTCAGTATGTTTGCTAGGCACTGTGGAGGGACTGTATCTTTAAAAACTCATAAATAGACTTTGTATTACTGCATATCTCTCTCGAGATTTACTGTGCAACCTTGTTCCGATGACAAATATCACACTTGCACAGTAGCTCTATCTGTAACTATCAGGGGTGTATTACCTCTGAAGTGACCTGTGTCTGAATGATTGAATACTATAGTTCTTAAATCCCACTTGGTTTAAATGAAGATCTGTCAAATTTTCAGTGCACTTGTTCTTTTTATGTAAACATTCTGGTACAACCTTAACCTAGAAATGTTCACTCATGTTCTTCAACTATTATTTTTAATTTTCCCCCCAAAAAACCAGGACCATACAATCATGGTACGAGATAATGGCAAAATTGAAGTGCAGGTATTTTAAAATTTGGGGACTTAAAACTTTATATTTTTTAAAATGTTTTTTGCAATATACCTAAAGTTTTCATTCTGGCTTAATATCATTATAATGTGTGACATGAAACCCTGAAATTAATGGGGGTTAGGAACCACGAATAGCTGAATTCTGTGAATACTTTAGACTATAAAAATGCTGTTTTTGTCTGTTTTGGTTGTTCAAGCATACCAAGATATACAAATATACCTTAATGTACACAGTGGAAGCTGTCTTGGTACTACAGCACAACATCTACAGTCTTCCTTATCTCTGCTATTGAAGGAACAGCCAATCAGCACAAAGAAAAATGAATGCTGCCTCTGCATTGGCTGTTTTACAAACACCAATAAAAAGTGTGTCAAGTATCATCTTGCTACCTAGGTATATCAGCTTTATAAGCAGTGTTTTCCTTAGACTATTTTAGGGGCACTCAACGGAAAAATTCTCAAAATTGTATATTTTCTGGTAGTAATTTGGAGTTATGTTCCGCTTCCAGTGCTGAATAATGACACGGAGGGATGTGTGGTATCTGGTTCTGAACACTTGATGATGGATATAAAGCTGCTGTCACACTCTGGCCTTTTTTGCCATGTATGCTGACATTGTTAAAAACATGTTTCTTCGGCATGAAGTGATGAGGAACATTTTGTGGAACATTAAAGTCACGTCCAACACTTGAAGTACATGTATCACTTTTGTTGGAGTCACATTGTGAAAATATAATGTATCCTGGAGATCAGTGGAATGGAAGTGACAGTGTCCTTCTGAGTAATGACTGGCTATATTACTTTTCCATGTTTTTTTATATATACAATTAACTGTCCACTGATATTTAAATGCTCCAAAAATGCCCTAAAATAGTCCAAAAATTATCTGAATTAATTAGATAGCAAATTAATGGCTGAAATTTAATTTTTTGTTCCAGTTACTACTTGTCTGAGGTGAATAAAGCATCTTCATAGCCTAGTGATAGAGATTAAATGATGGTACAGGTGAGTCATTGGAGTGACATTACAGTTCAGCTGCATTGTTATTAATATGCCATGTGAAATCTGTGATGTGTTGTAATCTTTCAGCATATCCAGAATAATCTGTGAGATACTCATGAGGTAGTGCCTCAGCAGTTATCCTGATAAGTAAAATAACTACTGGAAGTAACATAGATTTAACAATGATGAGAGAAAATCAATTTATCCACTTGACTTTTCTATATATTTATGTTTTTATTGATAATATCAAAATTTTTGTGATCAAAATCACTGAATTCACACATTCAGTGATTTTCCAACATGTATTGCCTGTTGGAATACTGTACATGGAAAACCTCCGGGGTGAGTCAGTGCTCTGCCGTGTCTCACCTTAGGGGGCGCTGTATCACATAGTTAATGAAGCAGGCATTTGGCACAAGCCCATTGCTGTCTCTTTCAGTATCACCAATAGACATGTTTAATTACACGTTTCATGTATGCTGACGTTCCACAGTCTGTCTACTACAATGAAGAGCGCCTTCATTGAAAACACTCCAAGCAGTAGGAAAATATGAAAACCCACAGTGAACCGTTTAAGGCCACTCTCCTCTTGCCGATCATCTTCCTCAGACATTTTCACACTTCTTTGGAGTAGCATGTGTTACACCAGTGTTTCCCAACCCTGGTCCTTGAGGCACACTGCCCTGCGTTTTTTATTTCTCAGCTTTAATACGCCTGATTCAGCTGATTGCAGTTCAGCAAACACTTGTCAATTGAAATCACCTGTGCTAAAGCAAGGTAACGCCTAAAGGATGCAGGACAGTGTGCCTCGAGGACCAGGGTTGGGAAACACTGTGTTAGACAGTAGGCTACCTCATCCATCAGCAGTGTTTCTGGAAGAGGCCACATGTGACTCGTGTCCTTGGTGTGATAGCATGTTCCAGGCTGCACTAATGTCGGCACAGTGAGTGTTGGAACACATACATAGAAAATTACCTTGGCATTGGTTAGGTAACTCAGACAGACAGAATTATTTACTAGAATCGACAGAAAGGTGAATTATCAATAACTCAAAGTGGCCTGCAATATTCCACATGACGGAGAAACAGAGCCAGCAAAGTGAGCAAATTCCTCAACAGTCAACCAAGTTAACCTGTCATTGATGCTGGGGTGAAAACTCATCACCTTACTGACGACACAGTTGATATGTTGATCAATTATTTAATGCACCAACGTTTAATTTGCATAATTGGATGTTTTCCACCATCAGTAACCTTGAAGGTGAATTTAGCTGATTTAGATTTAGTTGCTCTCTCCAGAGCTAATTAATCCCTGCTCCTGCCTGTTGATTTCTGCTCAGTGATCTGAGCTGCTGGCAGAAACCAACAATAAAACTTCTATTTGCTGAAAGCTATTTACATCTACAGAGGTCAGCCGGTTGTTGTGTGGGTGTCTGTTTTGGCTTTTGCCAGATGCACAAGGAAGAACGGTGAGGTGAAGGAAGGCAGCTGTTGTCTTTGTATGACTGTTGTAGTGATTTGTGTATTTTTACAGCTTAGGTAAAGTACTGTAAGACTTTAGCTTTGCTTGGAGCCTGGAAATCACATACCTGCATATAAAGCTCAGAACAGATTCCCTCCTGATCAAAACCTTTGGAGAAAATACATGTATTACCTTTCTTTCCTGGTTGACCAGAAGAAGATTTTTAATTCAAGGTTAAAAATGCAAGAAGAAAAGGGGAACAAGAGACAAAACTTTGGATCCTTCCAAACCCATGGAGTAGGGAGAATAGGCAATGCAAGGAATGTCGGCTTTCCGACTTCAAGTGGTAAAGCCTTTTGTAATTATAACAGAGGAAACAGAAAATACTGGAAAAAATCCAAAAGGGCAATCTGATAGAAAACCCCTACAACTACTTATATAAAGAAAAATCATATCCACTAATACCTAGGAGGCGCTATTGTAACTGTTAAACCATAAGTCCTACACTGAAATACTTTATATTAGCTTAAAGCTTGGATAATTCTGCATCACTTTACATTGAACATGCCTTTTTTATGCTTTATTAGATTTTATTTTACTATAATGCAAGAAAGGCAAAACATAGTTGTTATTACTCTGTTTACATTATACGCTGGATCAACATTAAACTTATCATCTCCTGACAAATCTAAAGTAGTTCATTCCCAGAATGACAAGGCAATGTAGAGTTAAAATCACATAGTAATCACAGGTACTTTAGCAAAAGCCTAATTTTGTAACATATATTGTACAATCAATATGAAATCAAATACAAAGTAGAATCATTCACAGAACCTCACTAGAAGATAGAGCTTCATTCATGTCTGTGGGAAATAGACCATTTAAATAGAAGATCCTAATAAGGTTGATATTGTTCCTTGTTTTGACTTGACTTAGTAGCATCAATGCCTATAAAGAATAAAAGTATGCTGCAATAATTTTTCATTAAAATGTCATCAAACTGGACTGGTCAAGTCAGTCATCTTTGTAAAACTTCTAGTCCATTAATGCGTTGTCTGTGTGAGAGCGGAAAGACTGACCTCATAATTACCTCATAATAACATTAGACCCCTGTCTCTGTTCAGCATTTGCTGAATTTTCTGTGGAACATAACTCCAAATTATTTGCAGAACATTTGCCAGTTTGCAGATTTTTTCATTGAGCATATATAAAATATTCAACCTCATGTACTCACTGGTAAATGTGTCAGTGGCAGAAAAACATCTTAAACCGTTTATGTGCCATTAATGGTGTTCATGCACTATGAAACACAATAGGTGAACTTTATTTCATATCTGTTATCAAACTCATTACCTAAAAAAAATAAAATTTTCAAAACTTAAAAATGTTAGTATGTGTTAGTATATTTTAAGTTTACATGACTTGGCAAACTTGATTTTGAGTGACATTAATAACGGCCTTAAAAAATTCTATTAGCAGTGATTTAATCAATCTCTCTTTTAGTTTTTGGTGTATTGTTATTAACATTTTTGCTTTTAATACTAGGGCTGAACAGGGATCATTTTTAGATTGAAACCTAAACAAAACGTACAAATGAGCTCCACCTGCAGCCTGGACCTGAACCTGGACCTGGTCTGACGCTTGGCGCGCTCCGTCTGCACTGGTGCAAACTGTAACTTTCTGCCGTTGCTCTCTTTCTATTTATGCTGCAGATGTGTGTGTGTGTGAGTCGGAGCTGGGATCTCCCGGCTGGAGAGAACCTCCGGACTGCGTGCGAGCTTCTGAGCTGTGCAACCAGAACAGCCAGTGCAGCTCCCGCTACCGAATCATGCGCCAGTGTCTGTCTGGCGGGGACAAGGAGCGCAGCACCATGCTGGCCTCCAAGGAGTGCCAGGGGGCACTAGAGGTGTTGCAAGACTCGCCGCTCTACGACTGCCGCTGCAAGAGAGGAATGAAGAAGGAGCTGCAGTGTCTGCAGAACTACTGGAGCATCCACATGGGCCTGACTGAGGGTAAGCATGAGTGGAGCTAATGAGGCCTCCTGCTGCCTGTTGATGATGTGCTTCAAAGTTTTAGGCTGTGGCTTGGTTCATCTTTTCTGTGCTGAGGTTTAAGATGCTCTGTATTGATTGCTGTGTGGGAGCTTGGCAGTTGTTGCCTGAAGAAAAAAGAGGGAATAAAAAATGTTGTTCTTTTTTGTTTGTTTCAAGTTGAACTGCATAGAATTTCTATGTCAGAGTGAGTTTTAAAACAGTGGAGAACTGCTGCATTTATGGAAGCACCTGTCACACAGACAGATGAGGAAACCATCAGGCCAGGCCTAGATTTCTGCCACCACTGGCCATAAACTCCAGCAACAATGATGCTAATAACAGTGTGGGCAAAGGAAGCGGTTTCTCTGACAAAGAGCTTGGTCAGAAGGGTTTCCTGCTCAGTGCCCCACCTGGACAACCGAAGGAACTGACCCGGAGGATGCTGTTGAGCTGTTCAGAAGCTGAAATAACATGAAAATGTCTGACCCCCTGAACAGGGTCTCCATTAGCTGCAGGAGCAGCACTGCAGTGACAGGTCAGCTGTTTGTTGGACTTGGTCATCACTGCAGCGTTTGCAGTCACCTGGCGTGTTCCTGTGGCTGCTCCACAGTCCACTGCTGGTCCTGCACTCTGCTGCAGTGTGTGTCAGCACCACCCGCACCAGCACAGACACACACACCCATGCACGGCCCGTTGGTTGGCCTAGTTTGGGTCCCAGCAGTGGCAGAGCTCATTAAGAGCCTCTCTCTTTGTTCCCTGTTCCACTGAGGATGCCTCTGTGCTGCTAACAGTCCTCACACACAAACACACACACCAGGAACACGCAGGCCGGCTAGGAAAGGCACACACACTCTCTCACACACACAGAGCTCACATACAACAGAACGGCTCAGAAGACTGAAACAGCTTCAATGACATGGAGTACTGTGAAGAGTTGCAACTCTTGGTGCGCTCATGTGCTTCCGTAATAGCAAAGCGTGTGCTTTCCATTGACCATATAATTGATCAATTTGACATTTAGCTATTTGAAATAAATTCACTTAATGAAAACCCTGCAATTCCAAAAATACTCTAATTTTTTCATAAAAAGTTTTGGCACTGGGCTCGGGTATTTATTTATTTTTGGCCCTATTGCGATTAAATTATTTCACAAAACTGGAATGGAAACACTTTTTTCGCATCACAAGTCACATGATCACACATGATACACAGTCGGATGTTGGCACTGGCTCAAAGAAAACAACAGGAAGTAGAGGATGGTGGCGCAGCATGTTTTTTGATGATTTATCACACTAACCAACTTATTCATGTGTGATTTTTATTGCATTTCTTATTTTCTTATTTCTTATGCAATTTTGCAGTTGCACTGCAACTGGAAAATTGTGTTTTTTCAACATTATTCGAATATTGACCAAGTTTTGTAAACACTTGTAATGGAAACGCATCTAGTGTGTATTTGGTTTATTTCTCACTGCTAACACAGTGATGCATTTTGGAGTTTGAGGAGTGTGTGTGTGTGTGTGTGTGTGTGTGAACTTCTGAGGGGTTTCTATAATGTATGCGACTCAGACTGAAAATTACAAGTTGGTTTCAGTCCAGCAGCAGCTGGAGAGTCATGGTGAGATGCAGCAGGTCAGCACACTCTGTTCCACAGCACAGCGCTGTGAGGATGCTGGACTGGAGGGATGTTGGCTTCATTATCCTTAGGAAGCCCAGTTCCAGCAGAGTCTGTTCTTTTACTATCACACTTGTGTTTTATAAATAAACACAAGTTTAGCAAAAGAAAAAGTATGAACGTTTGTATTTGGTTTGTATTTTTTTCCTTTTGTTGAAATCCTTTGTGGAAAAAAAACTTTGGCTTTTGAAAAATGTATTTATTTGTTGTGCATCGATTGCAATTTTTTTGGTCAAATGTCAATCACTGATCTTTAAGAAGTCGGACATGCTGATTCCGATTTTGTTGAACCTGTCACTGTCTCAAACTGTTTGAGACAGGTAATCTGTGAAAAATAAAAGAGCTTCTCTGCCTTCTCCCAGTGCTTCAGTGCTGACTAGAAACACCCAACCAAAGCCTGGACGAAGGTTTTAGCGCTGTCAGTCACCTCTCCATGTGGCGCTGCTCAGACCCCCTCTTGCTCTCTTTTGCTCTCTGTTAAGTTGCAGCTAGCACAACCTATCATTAATGCTCATTGCCACTGATGATGACAGATAAATATTTTCTCTGTAACAATAAGTTATTGTGCTGCCATTAATACATTTAGCAGCGAGTCCATGAGATTGACAGCTCCGGGCTCTGATTGGTTGTTTTTGGTCGGGAGTGGTGCATTTCTTCAGACAACAATAGAAGCTCAGGGAGAAGGTGGAGGAGATCGATCTATTCATAGATTATCTGTCTCATAACAAACTGTGAGAACATGGTAGCAGTTTTAACAAATATGTAAAAAATGTTCTTTACAAAAGTGACATTCCGATTATGTATGCTCTTTTAAAGGAAAATAGACATTGTAAAAGTTCAAGATTTATTGCCAGGAAACAGACATATCAAATAAATAATCACAGGAACATAAATATTCTTACTTTTTGTACAAAGCACATCTTCATATCAGTACTTTACACAATTATGCTTTATAATCAGGTAATCAGGGGTGAAAGTAGTTTTAAATTCTTGGGGGTTCTATGACAAAAGTATATATATATATATATATATATATATATATATATATATATATATATATATATATATATATATATATATATATATATATAAAACTGTAAATGTGTTTTAGGAGTCTCTGATTGGTTGAGATCCATATTTTCAGGTGTGATCTTATCATTATCTGCTGCAGGCGGCGAAGCATTAATAGCTGAAAGCAGCAAAGGATGTTTCCACTTATTTGTAATTCAAGATATATTTTAAAGTTAATGTATGTCTAGTTTTATATATTGCCATCTATTTATAAATGTATTGTAATGCCATGAAACTTTACAGAATGTCAGTGGTTCCAATTCTACAGGTGAATCAGTTCACAATTCATGTTCAACAGCCACATGCTTGTTTATGCATCCGCTCCAACAAATCTCCACCGAGGAGATGAGTAATAATCCAGGTGACAGGAAGTCAGTTTTGGGTGGGAGCTGTGGGGGGCGTGAAGGCTGAAATGATCTCTTTGACCTTTTCCATATGCTTTTCTTCTTCATTATTTTCATCCAATAATAATTTATAGCCTGAGACACAGTAGGAGAACCATAGCTGGGGAATACAGACTTATTGTGTGGATGAAGAATGTGGATCATAACATCTTCCATAAGGGAGGAAGGAACCCTGAAAATATGCTAAAATTTGTTTATGGAGCAGAATCACATTGTGCTTAAAATGCTGACTGTGCATTCATTGTATGTCTTTGGTTTCCTCTACCCTCTGACTGTAATGCTGCTACTGAGCGCTAACCCCTGATGGACTACTGAAGCTAATTAGCTTGATGCCTCTGTTACTACAGCCCAGGCGAAAATGAATACTACAAGTATTAGTTGATAGAAAAGTCTTTCACAATAAGGTATGAGAAGTGTGTTGATACTGATCCTAGTGGTCAAAGTGTAAACTACACATGGTTTATGCAAGTGGAAGTGTGCAATGGGTTGATGGCAAGGAATTTCACTGATAAACTCTTCAAATAATCTTTACCCTGAGTCAGGCTGTGAAATAAAAATGTATATACTGACTAATATTTTATAGAACTGACATGTCAGAATAGGCAACCCGTGACCAAAATGTAAAAAATAATGTCTCATTTTGGATTTGAAGCTTTTTAGATACACTGGGCAATAATTGTAGAATCATGTATATTGACTTTTCTTTTTTCTTTCTTTTCAGGAAATAGTATATAAATATTGATAAACATTTTTTTTTCATAAGTAATTACCCATATACAATATTTGTTTGTTGTGAAACATGACAGATAGGACAGTATCATGAAGGGATTTTTCGGTGATATAATACATTAGACCCTACATGCTGAACATCAGTGGTTGTTCAGCGCTCATACGAATGTGCAGCAATGGAATATTACGGTATTTAGCTGTATTTGATATACTGTAATGACAAGAAGTGATGGTTATTCAAAAACATATATTTTGACACAATTTGCAAGTATTTTTTGATCAATAATGACAGCTAGCTAAAAATTAATAAGCGGACTTTTGACCCTTCTGCTGTCTGAAAAGTGGTCAAATGGTCCCTGCCTGAGTTTATCCTATGCACGTGTCTGGTGGGATTACACTGACCCGGTGTGAGCTGACGGACACCCCTATCACTTCTCCATTGACCGACCGTGAGATCTGCTGCTTCCTGAGCGTCTCGCTAAGACTGAGTTATGACTGAGCTAAGAATGAGAGAGCGAGAGCTGAGGGAGGGTAAAACAGTTAAATCTAGTGGAAATGTTTGCCAAAAAGAGAAGAAACAAATCAAATATTGTCACTCCACCTCCTCCTGCTCTGGAAGTCTCAGACACACAACCTGATCCTGGGAACCTCTGTCCTCCTCCTCCTGTGGATCACACGGGTCGACTTTACTTTCCTGTCTTTATTAATGAGTATAATTTGTTATGCAGGTACCGGTATATAAGTGTGTGTATGTGTTTGAGTGTGTCCGCTGTTTTTGTGGGTCATGGTTTCTAATGTATCTTCTTGTCCTTCGGAAAACATTTTGTATTGTTTTGATGATGGGTACTATTAGCATTAAAAGCTGATAAAACTTTCCTATTTAATGCATTCAGACATGTTTAGAAACAGATATTTTACACTCATTGTGTGCTACTGTTTTAATGAGATACACAATGTCAGAAGTGTTGACAAATAGGTAATACTAGCAACTTTCACCTCATTATTTTCAGTATTATGGATGGTTTTTTACATGGAAGGGTTTTTTCACTTGCTACACAGCAGCTGTCTTTCTCGAAGTTAGGCTGATATTTGGAATTAGA